GCTGCTGCTGCTGCTGCTGCTGCTCCTGCTTGCAGATGCACACACACGCACGCCGCCGATCCCGCCCACCTCAGATTGGGCGGCAAGTCATCCGACATCGTAGCTTTGAGCGTGGACCCAAACGAATGCAGATTACTGTTACGGAGAAAGGAGAGTGCAGATGCGACGAGCGGCTCTACTATGCCGCATCGGCCGCGGATAGGGCTACAGGAGAAGGAGCGTGCAGCTGTCGAGTAATTAGGCGGATCGGGAGCTGGTGAGCGGATAGCTGGCTTTCTTTTCGACGCTGATCAGACCCACCGCCTGCGTATCGCCGTCGAGGTGCGACGCCTCTTCGGATGCGAGCGCGCGCGGCGCACGGCTGAACTCGTACTGCGACCATCGCCACGCCGGGATGCGGTTGCTGTACAGCTGGTCGATCTCCACAAACGTCCGGCCACGGGTCTCGGGAAGCAGGAAGAAAGCCAGGATGGTGATCACCAGCATGCATCCGCCAAAGATGAGGTACGCCTTGGCGGCCAGGTTGCCCGCATCGCTCGCTGTGATCTGCGGCAGTGCCAGCGTCGTCACCACCGCCGTCGCCTGGCCCCATCCGATCGCATACGACATGGTGTAGTTGCGCAGCCTCTGCGTCGGCAGCTCCGACGGCATCAGCAGCGAGATCGAGTAGAAGCAGAGCGTCCAGAAAAAGTTGAACACCATGGCCAGCGCCGAGATCGCCTTTGCCGCATTCGCATTGCCCGAGTAGAAGGCAAGCCCGCCCGCGCTAAAGTCGATCACCGTCAACACCACAAAGCCCGGAAGGGCCAGCGAGCGGCGTCCGACCTTTTCGAGCGCCACGATGGCGATCGCCGCGCCCACCACCTGGCACACGTACGCGTACACCGTCAGCACGAACGGATCGCCCAGCCCGAGCTGCGTGAGGAAGACGGTGGCGTAGGTCGTGCTCAGAATGATGCCGCTCACCTGGTTGAGCGAAAAGAACGAGCCGGCGACCATGGTGCGCAGCAGATGCTTGCGGCTAAAGATGTCGGTGAATTTGGTGTTCTTGACCAGATTCTTGCGCTCCTGCTCGGCACGCACAATGTCCTGCAGCTCCTGTTCGATCTCGGCGTCCGATACGGGCCGCACACGCTTGAGTGCAGCACGCGCTTCGCCGATCCGGCCCTTTTGTACGCACCACACGGGCGATTCGGGCAGGAACGGCGTCGGCACGAGCAGCAGGAACGGCAACGCCGCCTGCACCGCCAGCGGAACCTTGAACGAGCGCGTATCGTTGTAATTCTTGTCCGATGCCCAGCAGCAGATGGCTGCCAGCAGGTTGGCCAGAATGGTGAGCAGATTCGAGCTCGCCACCGCACCGCCTCGAATGCTCGTAGGTACCACGTCGGACAGATACAGCGGTCCGATCGACAGTGCGCAGCCGTACGCCAGCCCGTTCATCACGCGACCCAGGATGAAGGCGGCCAGATTCGGCGACCACAGCTGCAGCTGCGTAGACGGGATGCTGAACATGTACGCCGCACACAGCGACCACTTGCGTCCGAGTCGATTCTGCACGTACGGCGACAGCAGCGCTCCAAAGATGGTCCCGATCAACGGGATGGAGAAGATCATCGACTGGTGACTCGCGGTAAAGGTGTAGTCGCGCGTGTCGTGGTTGAGTCCTTGGTACTTTTTGACGAATTCGGGCATGGCGGCAAGCGGGCTCATCAGCGAGTTCTCCAGGCCGTACGTAGCTCCACTCAGCGCGATCGTCACGACGGTCACCAGGACCGACCTGCTCAGCACGCGCGGCTGAGCAGCCACGCTCGTGCCGATCGACGAGGCCATGCTGAGCGACCTAGGCGAACGTACGTCCGTAGTCATGGTGCGGGATGTGGGCGGCCGGAGGGGGCCAGAATGGCATGCGCGAGACCGTGGCGGTGGTGAAAAAGGGTCGGAATGGCCCGGAGCCTAGGGGCAGGTGCGTCTCGTAGAGTGGCTGCTCGGGGGTGTGCGAGCGTGCAAGTGAGATGGCGCAGCCGATTCTTTGTACTTGCTGCTGCTGCTGGCTGCAGTCCGTGGGAGCAGCAAGATCGCATGCGAGTGGGAGCAGAGCAGCGCTGTCAGGTGCATGCATCCCTCCGCCCCACCAGCCCCGAGTGCAGCGAGAAACCGAGCAGCTGGCGCAAATGAAGTCGAAATCAACAGGCCAGCCAGCTCGGTGGTGGAACCGGAGCGTCGTCTGCGCAGCGAGCGTTGCAAGGCCGATTCTGGTCTAACGCCTACGCAGCAGCCTTGGCGCGAGCAGGAGAGCGCGCATTGGAGATGGTGGTCGATGGCTTGGGCCTTGTCCAACTCCGACTCAGCTAGGGCGCTTCAGCAGGATCGTCTCGGAGACATTTTTGGATAATCCTCGCCGCCACCCTGTGTGCCCCGGGCGTCCAGGGTCGTGCAAGAGGGCCCCGCAGCTGTCAGCCTCGACTCTGCATTTCGTTCTGCGCAGGCTCGGCGCCGAAAAAGGCCAGAAATGTTAGCTTTTAGGCGTAACAATTTGCGTTTAGCTGGGCGAGACGATCGGACGATCCGACGATCAAGGTTGCAGACACGCACAAGGAACAACGGACGACATTCGAGGTCTGAGCATGGCTCTGATTCTACGCTACAGAGGGACCGACTGCCCACGGCACAGGGCCGAGTGCTTGGGGTGCAACGGCTACCTGCGAGGCGGCGGCGTCGAGTCGCGTGCTGCCGCGCCTGCTGCCCACACCGGCGCCGAGTCGTCCTGCTCCTGCGCTCTCTGCAGCCGATCGAGGGCCAAGAAAGAGGAGTCAGAGTCGGTGGAAACTTGGATGCCAAGCAGCAGGACCAAATGCTCACCTTGAGTTGTTCGGCGTACGCCGCCTTGCGCTGCGTGGCTTGGCGCTGCGCATCCACCTGGCGCTTGAGGTCAGGCGACAGAGCCTATCGTTGGCAAGCCACCAGGAAGAAAGGGAGGATCACACGTGGGAGCCATGCCGAGACGGAACGGCGCATCAAAGGGCACGACAAGATCGGCGCAGAAGAACGGAACACAGCATGAAAGGGGCGAAAGGGATGAGGCGTGAGCACGGAACAATGGACCAACGGACAATGCTCTACAGCCATGCTGGGGGACTTACATCGTAGAACTGCTGATCCGTCGGAGTCGTGGCTGCGGTGATGCAGAAAAGTGGAACAAGACGTGTGGGGGACCAAAGTCAGCTCGATTGTGGCCCAAAAGGGACGGAACAAAGGGCTGCCAGACGGCAAAACGAGGGGCCAAGGGACCAACCTTTCATGATTGCATAGCCCACCGCAATGGTCGCCAGACCACCGACGATGGCGCGCGGCCAAGGAGAACCCGACATGATTGGTTGGCGTGAAGAGGGCCAGGCGAGAGGCACGGCGAACGAGAATCAACGAACGAGGGCTGGCAAACTGTGTGGATGAAGGGACGCAACGAGCGAGAAGGCTTTGCTGCGCCGATTCGATTCTGGGACAAGGTTCGGTGGGGCCAGAGGACTGCGTGTGCCTTGGGCCGAAACGAGCTAGACCTTGTGGGCGCTATCGAGGACAACAATGCGCACGCTCTGCGCAAAGCAAAGAAGTTTGGCTGGATCCGTCGGAGCGGCTCGTGACGATGCTTTCGGCTCCCAAACTTGCACGGAAAACGTCCCTTTGAGCGAGCACAAAGGAGCAGGTTGGTGTGGGAAAAGCGTCGCAGTACGGTGGGAAGCAAGATGCACAAAGGGACGTTGACGATGCATGGTGCACGGGGCGCGCCACCTCCAAGGCGAACAATCAAGCTCGCGCGACCCTTTGTTCACCGTGGGAAGGCCGCAGTCCTCGCCAGAGTCCTTCTTTTTGTCAGCACCGCGGGCAATGTGGAGGGTGAATCACAATTTCATACTGTTAGCATGCGCGAGGAAACATTAGCTGCAAAGAAAGCTAGATCGGAATCGGCAAGCGTGGCAGCCGATTTCGCGTCCATCATTGCCATCCGAAGCGCCAGAGAAGAAGCACCAAAGACAGGAACGGGAAAAAAAAAAGAACAACACAAAATGGGGACGAGCGGGCATGTTCAGGCACCAAGCCGCTTTGACCTCTTGCCTCCACCTCTGACGACCGTCCGCGTTGTCGGGCATCTGCGAGTCGCTTTAACCTCAGCATCACACTTTGCCACCATGGCGCTCGCAACCGCAAACCTAGCCGCACGGCCGATGGTGCGGAGCATGCTCGGCTCGGCCGGTAGCAGCTCACGCATGCCCTCTCCGTGCTCCGTCGCGGTGCGGTCGACAATCTCCATGCCCGGGCGACGCACCCTCTCGACCAAAACGCCACGCACCCTCATGTCTCTCTCGTCTGCTTCTCCTCGCTTGGCTTCTCCGTGTGTGCGTTCGGGCTCGCGTGGGATCTCGTCTTCGGCTGGTGCGCCCGACGTCGAAT